AAGACGTTTGACATAAGCCTCACAGCCCCAAATCTTTAAGTGTGACAGAACCGGGCATTTGCCCGTCCATAGCTGGTATGGTGTTCCTTCAACCGCCTTGGTTGGAACTCGGTTAAGAGTATATATTGCAGTGCTCAGCGCATACCCCCAGAATGATTCTGGTAGAGTCGAATGACCCATCATAGAACGAACCATGTCAAGCAGGGTTCGATTCCTCCTTTCAGAGACACCATTCCATTGTGGAGTCCCAGGAGGTGTGAGTTGGGATAAAATCCCATGCTCTCTAAGATAGTCATCGAACTCACCACTTAAGTATTCTCCACCTCGATCAGATCGTAGTGTTTTAATACTTTTGCCAAGTTGTTTTTCAACTTCATTCCTGAATTCTTTGAACATTTCAAAGGATTCTGACTTGTGTTTCATGAGATACACATAGCCATATCTACTGAGGTCATCAATAAAAGTGATGAAGTATGAATAACCACCTCGTGCAGTTGTATTGAAAGGCCCGCACACATCACTATGAATGAGTGCCAGAAGATCACCAGCTCTTTCACCGTGTCCGGTGAAAGGAGATTTGGTCATCTTACCCAATAAACAAGATTCACATGTGTCATATCACTACAAGAATTTATCTGGTCTGCAACGGAAATCTGCTACGGAACACTTATCGTAGCAGATCTGCAACGAATCAGCGACGGAAGTTCAATTTCTGAAAGATACGGAAAATCTGCGACGGATTTTATTTTTCCGTCGCAAATCCGCGACGGAAGATTGTAACATGTCGCAAATTAGACATGGTCAATTTTTGACCTGGTTATCTGCGACGGACTTTAGTTTCTGTCGCAGATCCGTCGCAGATGATTACTAAAAATCAGATTGGTTTTTTCCCAGCCATTCATCCGTCATTCTACATTTCTACCCTAATCCCCGTTCTCTCTCCTCTCCGTCAGCCTTCCTTCGAACGCCAGCCCTCCGCCACCCGTCGACGCCCGTCCTCGCCGCCGACGCCGCCCTCGCCAGCCACACCGTCCTCGCCAGCCACGCCGGATTCTTCAGCCGCGCCAGCCACGCCAGCCACGCCGTTCCGCCTAGCCACGCCGTCCCCGTAGCCACGCCGTCCACCAGCCGTCACCACCCCTCGCCGCCGCCGCCGATTGTACTCCACCGCCTGCCGTCTCTCTTCCCCGCCGGACCTCCTCCTCTTTGCCGTGAACTTGGAGGTATTTTTGTTTAATTTTATACAATTTATTATTATTATTATTTTTGTAATTTTTGGTAAAATTGAATTTGTTTGTGTGAAATTGAGTACATTTTTGGTGAAATTTAGTTGAAATTATGTGAATATGAGATGAAATTGACATAAAATTGGATAAAATTGCATTACTTTTTGGTGAAATTGATGGCATTTAAAGTATAATTTTTGTTGAAATTGTATTAGTGAATTTGGCGTTTATTGAGAATTTAGGTAAAATTTAGTTGAATTTTGTGATATTGAGTGCATTATACGTACATATCTGTAGTTAAATGATTGTTATTTGTGGTTTAATAAGATTGTCGTTTGTTATCTGCCTTTATTTTTGCCATGATTTGTTCGTAATAAATGTGGTTGATATTCTTGGTTAAATGATTGTTGTTTGCTGCTTTTCAATTACCAGGCGTTTCTAAAATGAGTCCATTCGAAAATCGTGAGTTGATGTATAAGAAATATGAGAGAGAAGGTGTTGTTAGTCAAGAATGGGTGGACAATGTGGTTGAGTTTGTAGAGTACTGTGAGTCAAGTCCCAATGTCGATAAGTTAGATAACAAGAAAATGCGATGTCCTTGCAAGAAATGTAAGAACATCAAGTTTTGCTCATCAAAGAATATGCTAGAGCACATTTTGCGGTTTGGATTCACATTCAATTATTTTGATTGGGTATGTCACGGGGAGAATCATGGTGACTACGTACCTCCACAACGTTGTAAAGTCCCTCGTCAAGCTGATGCCTCAGATGTATCACAGGTCCTGAGTAGAGAACAGTTTGTACACATGATTTATGATGCAGTCGCCCCGACTAGGACCAACTCTGTTCTTGAAGAAGAGCCGAATTCGACAGACAAGCAATTCTTCGAAATGTTGAAAGCTGCTGATACAGATCTTTGGCCGGGGAGTTCTAAGACGTCTCAGTTGTCTGCAGTTGCACGCTTGTTGAATATTAAGTCAGAGCATAATCTATCCGAGCGTTGTTACGACACCATATGTCAATACATCAAAGACATTCTTCCAGAGGACAACTCAATGGTGAATGACTTTTATGAAACTAAAAAGATGATTGAAGGTTTGGGTCTTCCGGTCCAAAAGATTCATTGTTGTGTTCTTGGATGCATGTTATATTGGAGAGACGATGAACGTCTTACGGAGTGCAAGGTGTGTCATAAGCCACGCTATAAAGACGAGACGTCTAAGATTCCGCACAGACAGATGTTCTACTTTCCGCTTACACCCAGGTTGAAACGCTTGTATATGTCGAAGCGTACGGCGGGGGCAATGAGGTGGCATGCCACACATCGACACACAAACCAAGACGAAATGTGTCACCCTTGTGATTCTGAGGCATGGAAAAGATTTGATGTAGACCATCCTTCTTTTGCTTCAGAAATGCGCAACGTGCGCCTAGGACTATGCACGGACGGGTTCCAACCCTTTGGCCAGTCAGGGTCCCAATATTCATGTTGGCCTGTAATGATTACTCCTTATAATCTTCCCCCTGACATGTGCATGAAAGAAGAACATATTTTCTTGTCCTTAATTGTTCCTGGGAGGTCTAATCCGAAGCAGAAGATTGACGTCTACTTGCAGCCATTGATTGAAGAGCTAAAGACCCTTTGGAGTGAAGGTGTTGAGACATATGATGTGTCACTCAAGCAAAACTTCAAAATGCGTGCTGCCTTCATGTGGACTATTGGTGATCTCCCTGCATACGCAATGATGTCTGGGTGGAGCACGGCCGGGAAGTTAGCGTGCCCCATTTGTATGGATCAAGTTGAATCATTTCGACTACCCAATGGAGGAAAGCAGTCGTGGTTTGACACTCATCGACGTTTTCTTCCCCTGGATCATTCTTATAGAAAAAATAAGAAGAAGTTCATCAAGAATACAGTTGAGACGAGAGCGCCACCCATTAGAAAAAATGGTCAAGAGACACTACGTGAAATTGTAGGTTTGGGCATGCGGAGGATCGTGGACGAAAATGGTGATGCCATTAACTCAGAGATTGTGAAGGACACTTCTTGCGGATGGAGGAAGAAGAGTATTTTTTGGGATTTGCCTTATTGGGAGACAAATATGATTCGTCATAATTTCGATGTTATGCATATTGAAAAAAATGTCTTTGAAAATGTTTTCAATACCGTAATGGATGTACAGGGCAAGACAAAAGACAATGCAAAGGCAAGAGAAGATATGAAATTGTTTTGCTCAAGAAAAGAGTTGGAGCGTGATCCTCAAACCGGAAAGTACCCTAAGGCTAACTACACATTGGATAAGACGCAGCGTAAAGCATTTCTGGATTGGGTGAAGACGTTAAAATTTCCAGATGGCTATGTTTCAAACTTGGGAAGATGTGTGGACCCAACAAAGCTAAGGATGTTTGGGATGAAAAGTCACGAATGTCATGTCTTCATGCAAAGGTTGTTGCCCATTGGATTCCGAGCATTACTTCCAAAGGTTGTTTGGGAAGTGATTACGGAGTTGAGTAACTATTTCAAGAGGTTAACATCCAAAACTCTTTCTTTGGAGGATCTTAAAATGTTAGAAGCAGATATCCCAGTCATTTTGTGCAAGCTAGAAACAATTTTTCCTCCCGGGTTTTTTAATAGTATGGAACATCTCCCCATTCATTTACCCTATGAGGCACGGGTTGCTGGGCCTGTTCAATACCGGTGGATGTATCCGTTTGAGAGGTAATTTCAAAAATATTAAAGTTTTAGTTTCAAAGTTTATTGGGCATATGTTTCTAAACCTTTTGATATGGTTTTAGGTACCTCAATCGCCTTAAAAGAATGGTGAAAAATAAGGCTCGCGTAGAAGGTTCCATAGCCAATGCGTATTTAGTCCGAGAGGCATCCTACTTCTGTTCTCATTACTTTGAAGAACACGTTTACACGCGAGCCAGAAATGTGCCTCGTAATGACCCTAAATCACGAGAAGGTGTTGATGTTACAATTCAAGAGATTTTTGACATATTTCAATCACCAGGACGGCGGTTACAAGGGAAAATGCGTAAAAGGCAACTTACTCCGGAGGAGCTAAAAGCCGCACACCATTACGTACTCTTTAATTGTCTGGAGATTGATCCTTATATTACGTAAGTACTTACATTTGCTTGGCATCAAATACAAATATTGTTTTGTAATACACCTGTAGAGATTTAACAAGTGTATGTCAGGTTGTGCGCAAATGAGATTAAAGAGTCTACATCACAGATTAGTGAAGAATCCCTGTTGAAACGTGTAGAGGAGACATTTGCAAATTGGTTCCAGAAACACGTAAAGTTATTATTTTTATTTTTTTGTATAATATATGTGAGGTAATACATATGTGCGTGACTATTTTCACATCATCGTCAGGTAGAGAATGATAGGTCTGTCCCGGAAATAATCAGTGATGTGGCCAAGGGTCCCTTATCATTTGCCAAGTCATACCCAATATACTTTTTAAACGGCTACTGCTTCCACACAGTAAAACATGGTTCAAAGCGTGCGGTGTACAACAGTGGGGTATCTATTACAGGCGAATATGGCGAGTACTTTGGGGTATTAGAGGAGATACTTGAAATTGAGTATCCAGCTTTACCACTTAAACGTTGTGTTTTGTTTAAATGTCGATGGTTTGATCCGAGGTTGAATCGGGGGACAAGAATACACAAGAAGTATGGTTTACTTGAGGTGCTTAAGAAGGGAGAGTTTAACCGATATGAGCCTTTTATTTTTGGGTCACAAGCAAACCAGGTTGTGTATGTGGAATATCCTTGCACGCAAAAGACTAAGAGTGATTGGATTGCAGTGTGTCATGTTCACCCTAGAGGTAATTGGATTGAATCAGAAAATACACTAGAATAAGTAGACAAGGTGCAACAGGAACCTTTTCAAGCAATTGGGATGACCGAGAGAACCACAATCATGGAAGTGACACAAGAAGATGAACACATTAATCTATCACGAGAGAGAGATGCGAATTTCGCTGATGATGATAGTAACGCAGAAGATGAGGATGAAGAACCAATTTTAAGCTCTAATGACTCAATAGAAGAAGAACAAGACTCAACAGAGAGCGAGTGAAATTAGAATGACGAGTAAATGTGTTTCCAAATGTTTCTTATACTGTTAATGAATGATATATGTTTTGCTATGTGAACTTTATTTTGTTTAATGAGCTAAGTATACATTTTTTTTTGTACAGATGGGCGACAATGAGAACCCCCCTCCCCCCACGTCGACTGATTCTGAGGTGTTGGCACGTTTGAGGAGGTCCGTCATTGGTAGAGGGAGACCCCCTTCTCGCCAGGGATCGAGCACAGCCACTACATCCACAGGCACTCCCTCTATTACCTCGAGTCCATTCACTGATACGCAGGTGTCCCCCTCCACCCCACGTACTACGCCATCTGGCCCTTGTACGTCAGGTATGGAACTCTCCTCTTAGAGATTAATGTAGTAGAAGTTTCAACGGATAATCAATTAGAGTGATGTTTCATTTATCACGAAACTGAAACTTAATGTCTAAGCTTGTTCATAGTTGTTTTTAATGCATGTATTATTGTGTTATTGTGTTAATAGCATCTAGGGTGGGGGAGAGTATTGAGGATCAAGATGATGGAGTTGGCGATGACCATGACTTCGAGGACTGCTTTGGCGAGGGACGCAGTGGCAGGGCGCGTGATGGTGAGGACGAGGTCCACGATAATGTGGACCAACAGGGTGGATATCACGAGGGTCCCAGTCATCACGGTCAGTTCGTGTATGTCAATTCGGATGACGAGTAAGTAATCTAATACATTTGAAGATTATGGTTACATATTTGTAGGGTTACATGGTTGAAGTAAGTAATCTACGTGTATGGTTACATGTTTTAAGTAAGTAATCTAACGATTTTATGCTCACGACTTATACATATTTGTAGGGTTACAATCACTAGAGCTGGTGCTGCGCTCATCACACCAGCATTCTATGAGAGGACGGACGCGACTGGCTTTTCGTGGGGCAAAGTCTCAAAGACGACGAAGGAGTTCTACTTTCGAGAGTTCAAGGTTTTTTGGAAAAATTACTCTTTAACTTGTTTCGATCACAAGAAAATTAATATATATATGTGTGTGTGTGTGTGTGAATACAATCTAAGTTATTGACTTTTCTATGATGTCAATGTAGAAAAATGCTCGAGTGGATCCGTCCATTGATGAGGGCATGCTGAGGAAAGCTTTTCTCAGGAAAGCTGCTGAACGGTACGCGAGTTATACGTACAATCAAAGGAACCCAACTCGATTGAAAAAGAAGAAAATGGACCCTCGGCCACTTGAGCAGTTGAAGAAGGTAAATTAAAAGTTTGAAGCATATGTTTGGAGCATATGTGTATAAATCGCTATGTACAAGTAATGTTTATGAAATATACAACTATAGGTTTGGGAAGAGGATCCAGAGTTTTTGGAGTTGAGTAAGACGAAGAAGAAGAACAGAAGAAAGGGAAAAGAGGATGGTCCTGCTCTTGGGACTTATTGCGGAGGTTCAATTCCATTTTCTGAAAATATGAATCGATTGGTAAGATATATTTTATAAAATAATAGCTTTGCACTTGTTATTCGGTGGACACTAAATTTAAAATGTAATGAAAATGTTCATTGAAACTTGAAGGCTAAGAAGAAAGGGGCGCCTGTGCAGTTGGATGAGGTTATTATCCACACAAAGACAAAGAAGCACGATGGCAAGACTTGGGTGGATCCAGGACATGCTGAGCTACAGGTACTTTCCACAAATTGCAAAATAGTTTGGGTTCATGCTCATAATGTTGTTAATTTTTGTCTTTAAGCTTCTAAAGGGTGATAATGTAGTCACTTTATTGTGTAATTTTATTGTTTTAGTTGACGTTATTCTTATTGTTTATGTTATTGTTAATTGTGTTGTTATTATTTTTGTTACATTGATGGTGTTGTTGTTGACATATGATACTATTTTTGTTGTTGCGTTGATGGTGTTGTTGTTGTAGGGTTGACACTACTTTTGTTGTTGAGTTGATGGTGCTGTCATCACTAGCTAGATATTACGTTTCTTATCGATCCATGATAATGTTGTTAAGTTCTTGTGTTGTTATTGTGTTTTTTGTTGTTGTTGTCATATGACACTGTTTTTGTTGTTGCGTTGATGGTGTTGTTGTTGTTGTTGTCATTTGACCATGACTTGTGTTGTTTGATGTTGTTCATGTTGTTATTGCTGTTCTTGACATGCTATTATAGTTACGTTGTTATTGTGAGTTATTAAGTATCATATATTGCAGGCACAATTCTTTGAACTGCGCGAGGAGGCTAGGCAAAATGGACTTAAAGTCACCGACGAAGAAATATGGTACTCGCTAGTCGAGGGCCATAACGCAAAGAACCGTGTTCCTGGAGTTGGTGACTATGCACGGGAAATGAAGAAGATCAATCCATCCTCCAAACCTCGCCGTTCCAGCACTAGTAGCAGCAGCGCGGTGGAGATGGCAGCACTTAAAGAGCAAAACCAAAGGCTGCAGGAACAACTTGATAATCTAACCTCAAACTTGTCGCTGACGATTCAGGAGGAAATAAGGAAGTTATATGGTGGTAATCTTCCTCCACGAGGCAATGACGATGGAATGGGAGGGGCGGGACAGCCCGGGATTTGTTGACATCTTTGACATTTGAAAGCACTTTAATATTTCGTGTTTTTACAAGATTATGAATTATGTTACATTTGCACGTGAAGGTTTAATTAATCTCATTCTGAATCATCTATTCCGTATTGAAATTTTGTTTAGAATTATGCGTGTGAAATTTGAATGTGTTGCCCCTGCTACTGCCTAAAAACAGAAAAAATAGTAAATGCTGGTGCTGTGATCAGGTTGTCTGCGACGGAATTTCTTGTTGCTGCGTTTTGTCGCCAGTCTGCGACGGAAATATCCGTCGCAGGTCTGCGACGGTTTCTATACTTCCGTCGCAGATATTTGGGGTGCAAAAGACGAAGGCACCCGTTGCAAGTCCGTGGCAGATCTGCAACGGAAACTTAATTCCGTCGCAGATTTTCAATCTGCCACAACTTTTCTGCGACGGAAAATATTCGTTGCAGTTCTGTCGCAGATTTCTAATCTGCCACGAAATTTCAAAATCTGCCACGGAAATTGTCCGTTGCAAATTGACAGTTTTCTTGTAGTGTATGATTCAAGATCAAATGACTCCAGCATTCCTGACCGATGTAGCTTGGATATGCGTTTCTCGTTTATATGGCCTAACCTACAATGCCATAGGTATGTTTGGTTCAAACCGTTCGGTTTGTTCCTCTTGGCTGATATGTTATAGACAGGCATGTCCAAGTCAAGGACATATAACCCATTGGTCATGTTGGCATTAGCATAGAAAACATTCTTTCTGTAAACGGAAAGGGACTTGTCTTTAATAGAAATGATGAAACCACTCTTATCAAGACATGAAACAGAAATAATGTTTCTGCTAATTGCAGGAACGTACAAGCAATCGTTTAATTCCAACATAAGACCACTAGGCAAGACTAAACTATAAGTTCCGATTGCCAAAGCTGCAACAGGTGCACCATTGCCGACTCGGAGTTCAATCTCGCCTCGAGCTAACCGTCTACTCTGCTTCAGTCCCTGCATGGTAGTACAGATATGAGACCCACATCCAGTATCTAGTACCCATGATGAAGATATAGACATGTTAACTTCTATAACATACACCTCAGAAGAAATGGTCGTACCTTCCTTCTTCTTGGTTGCGAGGTATGTCTTGCAGTTTCT